AAATCCAACGGAATGAATTTAAATTGAATTTTATTTGGTTTAAATTGAAATTATATTGGTTTAAACTAGATTTAAACAAAATTTTAAAAATTTAAATGTATATGAATTCAATTGAAAATCAATTGAATTTTTTAAATTTATTTTTCGATTTATTGAAATTTTGGTAAATGTAAGTTGATTATTCCTAATTCGGATTTCTGCACATGAATATTCGATTCTCCTTCACCACCATTATATGTGAATAGATAGTCTTATGGTCCGTTATTTTCACCGGATTTTTACCAGTTTAGCTGTAAAATTCATCCGACCGGTTGCTAGCAGGACCGGACCGGACCGGATAGAAAAAAGCTGTCCGGTTCCAACTCTGTTGTAGATTGAATTTATTTCAATTAAATCTTTTGGCACTATATCAGATAAAAAGAAATGAAACTTTATATGAAGACATGAGACTAAATCATTTAAAATTAGTATTGATGAATTCATGAAAACAAAGCATATAGAAAGCCTTGATCAAAACGATTGAAGTAACGTTTTTGTTTTGTTCTTTTGTGAAATTGATGAATATCAATCAATTTAAACTCCTATTCAAATGTTGATTTGAATAAAAAAAATACACGTTCAACATATAAAAAAACTGGCAATGATATTATTCAAGTAAAATACAAAGCTTTACACGTATTGATCTTTTATTGACATAAAATCAACCTTGTGATAATATCGATAGTAGAAAAATATTGACTGTTAGCTTTTAGGATTTGTTTTTTTTCTACATAATAAAAACAAAAAGGAGAAACCAGTATCTCACACACTTCTATATGAGTCATGGTAATATTGAATTAATTTTTAGTCAAAACTTGGACAGAAAATGACTTGTGCTTATCTAAAAGTTATTTTTTCTTATTTCGATTCGATACAATAGATAGTCTTGACTTTTCGACTACGATTAAAAGTATATTGTAGTACAGTGAATGCAGACAAGCATATAATTTGAAACTTGATTTGTACAGCACATGAATTTAACACTGCAGAGCGTTTTCTTTTTAGAAGAAACACAATGTTTAGCGACCCCTTTCAAATACTATTCATGTATGTATGGATGTTGGTTTGCACCACTAGCAAATATATGTAAATTCAAGTGATTTTTATTATCACATAGAGCAAAAGATATTAAATTTATTTTTATGCAAAGAACTTTACTTTGAATAGTCATACTTGATTTTTTAGGAATATTGTTTTCGACTGACAAGCGAACATCTTTTAGTCTTCGAACCGTTTCATCCCATTTATTGGTGATTATTAAACTTCAATAAGATATGAAAAACTTGCAAAAGATTAGTTTATTCAGACCTTCCTTTTCAGATTACGACCGCTTCAGTAAGTTTTCGACTTACTACGAAATAGAACCCGCCGAGTCCAAAACTTTTGGTGTCGGACCTGGACCATACTCTTAGCACTCTCAATGAAACTTTTTTTACTCGAAACTTGACAGTCAGTCTAAATGTATGACATACTTGTTTCAGTTCTTAGGCGAACCACACATTACACAATTCTCAAACAATCTGAATGATAATTTTTAACGAATAGAGATTTGAAAGGGTTGTACTGGAAAGTATTTTGAAGAAATTTGAATTACTCAAGTAAATAATGAACGGCTAGTTTCAGTCGGAAAATTCCAAAAAGTGATAGAAACTTCGAACAAGCCATACGATGTCCGGATCGGTGTGGGTGGGTTTCTCTAATTCCAGTCGGAAACGACTGCAACAGAGAAGAACTGATCATCAGATACGATCATCACATTGTTGCTTTCAAGTTCCTATCATCTTCTGCAGTTTTTCAGTCGTAATTCACAGAATTGGATGCCAGAATCATTGATATGCACACATATTGTTAAGTTCATGGTTTTTTCCCATAGATAGATCTCAAAGTCATTAGAATATTCTAAAGCTTTTAGCTCAAACTAATGCTTGCTTATTGAGATAATCAAACTTCAGCAAAGGTGCAATTAGCTAGATCGATAATTCTGACTTCTGAAAAACAAAGGATTTCGCAGAAACGCGTCGAAACTTTGCTGAAAAACATTGTATGCGCCTAGAACATGTTGGCGAATAGTGTTCATTTGGTTTATCGTTTCGATCGAAAACGATAAAAGAATTGTCCAGATTCTTCTGACCTGTTTAGATTTATGTCTTTTCCGTATGTCCCTTTCAGTAGTTTCAAAACGTAGAATAAGTATAGACATTACTGTGTGTACAGAGACTAGTATAGGTGGCAGCTCTCCAGAGGGCGCTATGTCTCGTAAACTGCGACATAGATATAAAAGATTAATCAGGTACAAAAGTTTCGTTTTAAGTTTTGAATAACTGAATTTAACTTTCAAATTTGACATTTGCTACAGATTCGGGCGTATAGAAAAGGACGTATAGGAAAGAAAATGTCGTAACTAAAGTATAATTTTTTAAAGATTTAGCCATACGTTGAGTTTCTCTCAGAAAAGGCTTGTTATTTTTCTTTTTTATTAACGTTTCTCGGAGAAATGATAAATCGGATTTTATGGGAAATCAAAAGAATATCATTGTAATATTCTGGCCTGGAAAGTGTGCAAATTTTTCTCATTAATTCTTGTTGTTTCCCGTTAGAAATAACAGGAAGTTTATTGAGCGTCGCAGTAAAATTCTGAAACTTTTCAGCTCAGAATACTGCATTCGCATTTCATTGTTTTTCTGTCGGAATAGACTCGTATACATTTACTTGAGTTTGGTTAATAATTTGAAAAATCTGAATAAATTCAAAAAGTTGTTATCTCAAGGAAGAAAACATTAGTTTCCGCTGGTAGTTTTAGAACATCATATGGACTGTGAGAGCTATCTATAGACAAAATATCAAGCCTAAAACATGTTGATTGAAGTTTGCTAGACATGTCTTTCAGCAGGTGAAAAAGTCAGTAAAGCAATGCAAACTCGACCATAAACGTTGAAGAGAACGAATCATTTTGAATTTTTGTTCATATCTCATTGAATTCTACTTGTGGTTAAAAGATGGCATAAGAATAACTTGAACGATGAATTCTCGTTTCACCGAAAAATATTCTTGTAGCGCTCTCGTTTCGTTCTCTAGAATAGACTAAGTTGCATTAAAGAAATAAACTAAACTATACTGTTACATCACTCAGCTAACAATTCGATATCACTACGAAAAATTTATTTGTAAATCGAAATCCTTGATTAAAATATATAGTTAGGGGTTATAAACAACAAGACCCTAATTGCGAAAAAATAGGGGTTAGAATGAACATGTGTGTGACTGCTTTCTCGTTGCCTACCTACACAATCAACACTATTGACATTTTAACATTTTCACAGCTCTGTGTTTGTAAATTTCAGTAACTTTGCCTTTCAACATTACTAAGGTGAATCCATTAGCTGTGTAATTTTTATAATGTTCTCAATAAATTTTTTCAACAGAAACCACTCAGAATCATTTTTTCGAATTTGACTGTTAATGAAAACGAAATGATTGTGAATAAGCTAATTACAATCTGCGTATTTTTATTCAAATTCTATTTTTCGACGAAACGAGAACACGAAAAAAAAACATTTTTTCGACGAAGCAAGAAAATCAATTAAGCTTTCTACAAAACCAGAACTAACCATTCAAAAACACACATTTTCATTAGCTTTAATACAAACAAAGTATGTTCTACACATGGAAATTAAAAGAAAACATTGTAACGAAAATTTCTCTTAGCTCATTTGCAATTAAAAGGGTTCTTCTCAGAAAACAAACAAACTAATAATGAAATATACAAAAACAGGACCAAATAGCAACACATTGTTGATTTACACCTGGATGATTGTATGAAAGGATGAAAAGAAAAAAAACTACAAAAAATGTCCGAATAGAAAGAATAAAATATAAACTCTGAAAAAGTGTATGCACAGCTATGCATTGCCATATTTCTTTGTTGAGATATGTCATCATAATAAAAAGTAAATGAAACATTTTGGCTTTCACGAATGGATTTTATGAAGTATTTATTTATTCAGTTACTATGTAGTTAAAATATTTTGCATGGACAGATTGTTACCTCTCAAAAAAAAATAGTGTCCGGTATTGACTATATTATGTGACGTATGAAGAAATAAAGTCATTTAACTTGCTTGCAATACTATACATTGTTGGGATGTGAAGTAAACGTGATAAAAGAAAACAACTTTTCCAAAATTTAGAGTGACAATATAAATTGCTATGCCCTATAAAAAATCAAATACGAAATAAAGCCTATTCATCAATGACAAATGAAAAGTTTTATTCTTTGTTGTTCTTGTTGCACAAATCGAGAAGGATGAAAGAAAAACTATTAGCTGTCCAGATAACTCATTCTCTAAAGAGATGCAACTTTCGTATAAAGCAAGTTTTAAACATAGCATATATTTGTATATATACTTCGAAGAAAGTTTTACATAATACTTACTATGTAACCTTTAATATTATAGTATGAAGCTGGTTTGATTATTCTTGCATTTATTTCTATTTAATATAAAACACTATTTAAAAATTATCAGCATTGATTATAAAATTCGTTAATTATTTAAAATGAAATCTATGACTATTTATCTGAATAGTTTTGAATGTCTTCAGTTTATTTTGTTTGATAATATAATTATAAGAAGAAAAGAAACCCTTTTTTCAAATTGATAGATCTAATAAGAAATATTACCAACATGTTATAAAAGATTGTATCGAAAAATGTCATTTTTACTCCTGACAATTATTACGAATGCATCTAAATAATCATAAGAAAAAAATATACAATCATTTTCTTTATCTTTAGATTGTTAAAGATAAACTTTAGGTCACATTAATCACGTTTAAATAGTGTTTCTTATAATTGCTAAAAGATACGTTAAATAGGAAAATGTTATAATTTGAAAGTGTTGCTTTTAAGAAGTCATCTTTTAACACTTTTATTTCGAGATTAAACTCTTAATGGTTTAGCAATCAGTGACGCATCTATTCTTCATGAGCTTTCCTATCATATGAAATTTATTTAATCACTTATAGTGCATATTTTGTTCGTTACATTTGCAAAAAAAAGACAAACGTCAAACAGTAGAAGTTTTCAATACTATCTTCTTTTTACGATCCGTGTTAGAGTTCTGCAATAAGAAACGAAAAGGTGCGTGATATAAAACAATTGCTTTTTATTTTTGTGTATATTTTGTCGGTAACGAACGAGATAATATCTATGCTACATCTCTCTTATATGATGTATCAAGCTTATGCCATATTATTTGGTTTTTATCATAATTAATAGACATGACAATCAAGATAAAAATGTACTTGACTGTTTCTATTGAATGATAGACTAGCTCAAGGATGATACACAAAATTGATATTATAAAAAAAAACACGTAGTAGCATGATGTAAATATTTTGAAAACCTAGACTCTATGTCACATGATTATATAGCTAACAAAACAATTAATATGAAAATTTGTGGTATTTTATTCATAACAATAAAACTACAGAAACACTGTAAAAAATACAATATCACATGTACTCAGATTAGTTACTATTATCTGAATGGTGATGCGATTAAATTCGGACATTAAAGAGAATTTCTACCAATTCTATACATAAGTAAATGGTACATAAAAACATTTGATTCGGTCGACTTTTTCCGATCATTTATGAAGAAGACTCATTTTTGTATTGTTATTTTCATCTAAGAAATAATGTTTTAATGTTTTTGATGAAAATTGAAATGTATAACGAGTATTCGTTTTTTGCATAATGTTTGATTTATAATACCATCTAATAGCTCTTGCGAATTTATCGTATGTCATTCTTTGATTTGATTGTCGACTTTTAACTGCTTGCCATAGTTCAGCAACTTTTTCTGGTTCGTGAATTTGAAATATACCTTTGGATTTATCTATGAATGATGCATAACATTTATATTGCGGTTTACCAAGAAGAAGAATAAGAAATTCAAAAAGACGAGGAGATCTTTGACGCTTTGATATTGAATCTTCGACAAGCCAATCTTTTCTATTCAGTGGAATATCGAATGAAAATACTTCTGAGAAGTCATCTGGACTGTAAGGTAATTCTGTTTCTGATGGTGATGGAAAACAATCAAATAGCCATCCTTTTAGAGAATCGATGACATCATTTGAGTCTTGTTCGATACACATTGTATTGGGATCAAAATCGACAATACCATCAATAAGAACTGGATCATAATTTTCATCAATTGCATCAAGCATTATAAGTATATCAATTAATTTAAGACAATCAATTTTTTGATAAAATAACGAAACAAATATTCGTTCACGGTTTTATAAAAGACGACGATCGAATTCAATGATTTGAAACCAAAAGAAGCTGCAATGTGTCAATTTATTTTCTTCTGACTGTCGACAATAAAGGAGCGTAACATGTAAATGTATGTGAAAGGAAAGAAAAAGGAGTCTTTCGCCGAAACGTAGTTGACTGTCTGTGTCTGTCCGTAATCGTTGCTCGTTTTTTATAGCCGAAGGAGTTGCTTGGAATATTCCGAATAAAGTAAAAAAAAGAAAAAAAATTAAATAAAGTAAGCAATCAAATAATGCCACACTAGTATAAATATTGCCATTTCAATGAAAAAGAAATTTGCTTGGTATTTCCAACATACAATATTATCCAACATGACGCATTTGTAAAACAATTACGTCGAAAAATATTTAGTAAGAAAAAGTTTTCTGCGAAATAAATTTTTTTATCGATCAGTAAAAATCAATGACATCATGAGGATGCATATTAATGTAATATTCAACTCTTTACATTAATAGAATACCTTTTTAGAAATAATTTCTGAATCAGTATACGTCGGCAAAAATGAACAAGATTTATCCGTTTTACAGCAGCACATCTTTCATATAGATATAGAATTGATTATTAAATTGGTCAATATTATTATGCACTGATAGCTGGGAAAATTTGTTTTTATTAACAATGTGGGAAAAAACCTCATTTTAGAATAGTAAATAGGATGACTCATATGTTGACAAGAAAGCGAGAACCTTTTTTTCTTTGATAAACATAAATAAAATAAGGTGACCTCAGAGTATATGATGCACAGGAAATATTTTTTTCCAGCATACATTACAAGATCATTTATCTCTTTGATGTAAAATTTTTATGGCTTACTGGAAATAGAGTAAGAAGTAATGTCAGAGAAGATTTAAAACAAATAGAAAAAAAAACACATGATATTATATTAATAAATAATATGATCACGTTTTTTCTCATTCTCCTAAATAACATGAGTGACTATAGACACAATAAGAAAAAAAATTTAATGATGATAAGAACAGTAGCAGTGCACGTTGAAGTATTTGAGATATAGACCCTCAAAAATCTCGAAAAACATCAAATCCTAAAGATATCGTAGAAAAGGGTAATATTTTTTCAGTGAAAGCTATGAAAAACAATAAATGATAATGGCTAGATGGACTTTAAAATGTTGGTAGTAAAAAGAAAACCAACTTATTCACGAATATATTCAATGTTCTATTTAGCAGTTGGGTGACGCTTCTTGAAAGATCTAGTTCGAGCTTTGACATTGGCAGTTTTTACCACTTATACGATGTGTTGTCACTCCTTTCTCAAGAAGAAAATTTTCATATAAGACACGTGATCTATAACGAACTGGTTATGTACTTTTTGCTAATCATTACGCCGTTTATTTTAGTCATATCGATACTATGATGAAATATTACGTAATCAGACATATTATTCATGTTTTATTATGCGCTATTAAGAGTCTAACTAGTGGTTTCTAGAAAGTTCTCTATTTTATGACACAGTTAGAATTGTAAAAAATACTGTTAGTAGTGAAGTGATATCATTCAAAGATGATGCCGATATTCTAGATTTTATTTTCGATACAAAAAGCAATAAATATCAGAATATTATCTAGTTTAAGACAAGAATGTACATTATAATTCGGGCATACCAAACAGTCATTTAGCCAGATGAAATTCCAGAGAATAGAATTAATCAAGTTTTCGAGCCGGCAATCGTGTTTACTGATGAATAATACATTTTTTTCAAGAGATTTTTTGAAAATATTTTTCAAGTTATCATTAATTCAAAATTCATCATCTTGGCTACAGAACTAAATCTACTGACTATTACCGTTTTATTATTGATTAAGTTTATTGATTAGATACGTTTAAATTGCCGTAAACGCTCGTAAACGTTACAATTACGATCGTACATCGACCAAATAAAAGGAAAATTCATTTTCAAAGAGCAATGTGCGTATTAGTACCGAGTATGATCTACGTCATAATCATCTTAGTATTCTTCATTCTTCTATCAGGATGTTCCATCTCTTCTTGTGAGTCCTGCGGCTTTTCATGAGCACAATTAATATATCTAGTTCTGTCTGAGAAGTGTTAGTCAATGCAAAGATATATGATTCAGCAGAGAAGATCTGAGCAGATAGAATAGATGTTGTTGTTTTGCTATTGGTGGCAGCGGATAATGATCTATTCTATCTTTCTAAACAAGCGAATCAATAAACATCGACATGCTTTTCTTTTCAAGACACTTCGTTTGAGAGTCTCTATAGTCTTGAACCAGAATTTTTCGACTTCTACAGAAGATAGAGAAGACTTCGTCGGATCTTATGTTTGAAACAATCTTCGTGTTTTCTTGAAGTTTTGTTGAGCAGCACATATATTATCACTACATCATTCAATGGTATATTTTGACGCGCTTTCAAAGTAATATTTAACTTCTGCTTAGATATCCTTATCGGAAATTACTTCTATTTTCTGTTTAATGGCTCGGATACATTTTATCTAATGCTTGGCATAGTTCAAATCCCTATTAGCAAACATAGTGGAGTGACTAATACAATTTGAGTCGACTTAGCGATGATTACTATGTCTAGTGTTGTGGCGTTTTTTGGCCATATCAATCTGTTTGATCAGACGCTTTCGATTAGTCTGATGCATACCCATGTCTCATGTTCCTTTGCAGTACTGTCGGTATACCGCGGTACTTATAAAAACCGGCGGTAATGCTTACGATTTTCGGTTCCAGTTATAAACGACTTCCGAGACTGTTTTCTACCCAAAGTCGAATTTATTATTAGAAAGAATTTAAAATTAATCGAGAAAAAGACAGTTTCACAATATATTTTACTAACAAGTAGCGTCTATCTAACGATAGACCGAGTCCCTTTTATGAAACTATCTGAGGATGGGTGTGGATGCATCTTATATCCACCCACACCTGCACTCACTAGACATGGACAAAATCGACTTTTTTTGGAATTGGAATTGTATTGAAATCGTTTTGAAGACATATACCATTCATTCTTGGTTTTTCAGACGTGTTAAAGACATATTGACAAACGAGAATTGACATGGATGATTGGACGCTCCCAATAACGAAATAAAATAAAAGAAACACGGGAACAGTCCTATATACTACTTGGCGCCAATCGAAAAAAGATTTTGAGAGTGTTAATTTACAGAAATGTTTGAGAACTTTCTGTTCATCAATAAAAACTAGGAAGTACTCGTTACCACAAGTACACAAATGAAGCCATTCAATTGAAACAATAATGAAGATATACAAGTTTCTTTTTCGTAAATGGCTTTTTGAATACTCTCTAAGCATCCTTTGGATGAAATGTATCATTCTTGAGAAGAAATAATTTCTTTAAAATAGTTTTTAAATAAATTTTTGAACGATTATTTTAGTCCTTTGCCAGAAGATAAAGAAAAATTTTGTCTGTCATAAAACTGCGCATGATTCCAATATTTTTATACGTTGACATTGGAACTGGATCGGAATCGGAATCGAAGCGCCAATGCCGATCCAAGATCTTCCATCTCTAACACCTATACTCTCTTTGCAAGAATATCTTTGAAATGCATTTTCAATTTCAAACATTTTTTTTTTATTAAATATCAACCTTGATGAGAAGTGACGGTCGTTCTATTTGACTTTCTTCTTCTTGACTATTTATTTTGCATTTATTGTTATAGTTCTTCTTGGCAAGACTATTGGCCGTATATTCACGATTTCGTCGAAATCAAATGTGATATTCATCGACACTTTCTTTATCAGATATTTTGGCCATGCGTTTGTGATCAGCTTTCAGACGACATTCTCTTTGCTCAATCATTTCATATTTTCTTTGTTTTCTTTTTCTTTCTTGATCAAGACGTAATCATTTTTGTTTTTATTCCTTTGTCTCATTTCGTACTGATCGTCTAGAAGACTCTTGTTACTTATTCTGAATATTTGAGTTTGAGTTGTCAAGCTTTTTTTCAGTATTCATCACCGAATTGTCATAATTTTCAAGAACAATAAATCAATATCAATGTCAATATATTTTATACATTTCACTATTTTTTATTATTCTCGTTTTTCCATCTAGTAGACATATACACAAATTTAAAATATTGCAAACTAATGTTCTTCGTAAGATCTTTTATTTCATAAAAGTGAATAAAAAGTTTAATAATTGGAGTCAACTTGGGCTCTGTGACTAGTACAGTTGACTCGGGCGCGTGACAAAAAACGACCCAATTCTATCAGTTTTAACAGACTTGAAAAAAATTTAAACGTTTTGATACAGTACATCATGATAGAACACTATCAAAAAACAAAATGGCGATAAACCATTGGTATGGCGCACACTGTACTGAACGATCAACCTGTGATTTTTTATCTGGTTTAAATCACATCAGTGATGGCCTTAGAGAGCGAATCAATGACCTCTTTCCAAATTTATTTTTCTGTTTTTCCCAGAAAAAATCTAGATCCATTACTGAATCATATGGGTAGTGTGTCAATGCTGATATCATCTACCGCGGACCTTCCTTTCATGCTTCCTCTTTATCTTGTTCTGCTGTTTTTTCGTGTGCTCATCGCTCCCTCTCTCTTGTATATAAACGTGTGTTATAGGTGAAGTAGCCAAATAAAGATCATTTCTGAAGGTGGAGATAAGCTATTCAATATAGTTTGTCGTTACAGGTAACCATTCCTTCTACCATGTCTAAAATCAATAGAACGATAGCTAGCTGTATCTCCGGACAGAAGTCTGGTCTGACCTACAGTTCTTTTGTTCAATTGTTTGAACTTCCCAAAGACACTGGCTAGTCTAAAGTTGATCATAGAACTTCCTGGTCCTAGTTGAATAATTAGATATGTCTTATGGAAAGCGAACGTAAAAGAACATTCAACAAGTACGTTGTGCAGAAAAATATTGCTTCTTCAAAGTACAACTATTGCGATTTCTATGCGAGTGTTTTAGCCTGAAAACATAAACACAAAATATGCGATCAAAGCTAAGGTAGAAATAAGATCCAGTCCTAGTCTCAGTCACGTTGTAATTGCGCTCTAAGGAGAACACCAATACTAATATAGTTTTCGAAACAATCTTGTTTTATAGAAAAAAATATATCTCTTCAAAATTTAACGACTGAACATTTCTTCACTTTATTTATACTTCAGCAATATTCGATTCTACAATCGGCACCAGAAAGTTTCGTACATGTCTCTAGGCTAACCACATATTAACCACACGAGTTTATGTATTTCGCTAAGTACTTAGTATACTATCGAACGAATAATGCGAGAGAAACAGTCGTTCATAACTTACCCAGGATCATATCATGGTTAGTGATAACAAAGTTCGAATACAGTATCTTGAAAGTATGGTCCACCCAAATAAAAAACACAATTCAAGAAAAAGTGAAAAATAATAAAAGGCTGTGATATTGAAAAGCATCTATCGTGAACACCAAGCAAATAAAATAGTATCAACTGAGTAATGCATTTCTATTTTTAAGAATATATGTATATAACATCTTTCACTGGTGTAATTAGTGTTCTAGCCATTTGAAACAATTTGAATTAATCACTTGTCATTGGTTAATATCTTCGCTAAAATACAAGACTTTCTTTAACGATATACAGTCGTCTGATAAATCATTAAGTCAGATGTGTCACTCTGTTGCGAACATCAGAATTTAGATAGTTCAACATTCAGTGGTCACTTATACTAACTGAAACATCCATTATATTCTAAAAGACGACATTCGCTCTTTCATATGAAAAGAAATTATATGCTATTCTCTTCAAATTTATTCAAAACAAAAAGAGATATTGTCAATAATTCTGAGTTAAATTAACAAATTCATCATCATGATGAAACCAGCCAAAATAAAAATCAATAATATATTGCTTGTATCTATAACAAAAAGAAATACCAATACTTCATCATATTTCTTCATGAAAATTCAATATTTATTCTCACTTTTATATGACTCATTTATTTGGGCTCCAGCTCGAAGACATGTAGTTAAGTTAACATTACAATCATTTGTCGTACAATAACATTTATTATAGATAATAGTATAATTATAGTCTTCAAGTGTTTCTTGCCACTGTATATAAAATGTATTTCTTGTTTCATTATAGTATTGTTCAACATTAGATTTAACTGCCATTTCTTGCATTAATTGTATTTGATTAGCTAATACATATTCGTAATCTTCGTCTGGTACTGCAACTAATGTTAAATAAGTTTCATTATCATTTTCTAAATACATACAAAGTACAGTATGATTTTGAACATATTCTTCACATTGAGCCATATTTATATAAGGTGTTGAATCTCGTACACAATAATATGTTGAATTTAATGTTCCAAGTGGTGTATCTTCACATGTGATGACTGATGATTCCTTAGTAAGTAATGGTACAGGTGAAGAAAGTGGTGGAATATTTGGATTTGCATCAACAGATTGTTTACATGTTGTAAAATTTTCATTACATAAATCTGTTGCACATATACAAAGCAAATCAATATCAAAATATTCAAATGGTAATTTAGAACAAAGACCATAACCAACATCACTTCTATTAGTAAAACCTGTACAACGTTGTGTTACAACACGATAAGAATTCGTTAAATAAATACAATCATAATATATGGTTGAATCAGTGCCATTATTAAAAAATTCATATACACAATATTCACAATTGGTAAATAAATCACCATCACTAAAATCGGATAAACATGTTAGATTATGACGATTAGTTATTGTATTTAATTGAAATGGAAGATTTTTGAAAAATCCTTGACATTCACTAATAAAAATGAATAATGTAAATAATAATATTTGCATTTGAGTTATGTCTTATAAAATAAATCAAGTGATGCTGACGAACTTTTGTTTTATGTTTCTCTTTCGCTATCGTTTCATTTACCTGCTTTTATTATTGTATATTTTGCTTAAAGAAACGAGAAAAAAAATTGATCGAGTATATAAGCAAAAAAGAACACGAATGAAAATATAAAAGCATATGAAGGACAACATTTTATTATGGTGAATAATAATGAATCAAACAAGCCAGCTAATACTACTAACAGATTTTTAACAAAAATACTATAGTATTTACATTATATCACGAAATCTTATAAAAGTAAATATTAGATCTTTTGAAAAAATTCCATTGCGTAATACTTATTAAGATGAAAAAAAAAGCCGTTATTTCCTGATATAGATCATAATTTTGGATGAATTTATTTTAAAATAAATTCTATTAGAATTATTCTAGTTCACAATCTTACAATTTTCTACGTAAGATTTTGTAATAGGTTTGGAACATTTAATGTTTTGTGCACATGAAACATGCCGAGGAAAATAATATAACTGAAATAGTATATAGAATTTTTTTATTGAAACTAATAACATGGATTAAACCATCAGTCAAGATTTGTATTACATAAGAATATGTTATAATCTAGCTCCTTATAAAAATCAGAAAACAATTGAGTCATTTCTATGTCGAATTCGAAAGATTGTTAGTACAGAATCTTGTTATACACATATACGATGTATCATTCTACTAAAATTCTATAATGAAGGGTTATAAGAGACGAAGACTTTCTTCGATTTGTCACAATTGTGAATGCATACCAATGAAGGAACAGCGATACAATGAAGTAACTATGATACAAAATTAACTGGACAAATATCGACACCTGTTTCTGTTTAGTAGAACGGTACTAGAAGAAAAGCTTTTTCTAACAGAAGATAGAGAATATTGTCCTCTTTTGAATCGCATATAACTTATTTTTATAATCACTCATTAACAAAAGAAAGCAAGAGAAAAGAGAAGAAGTCTTAAAGAGAGTCTACACTTTTCGTAAGATTCTAAAAAATGGGGGAAAATGTTGTTTTCTACAACCCTTCGACGAACGTGTTTTGAAACGAATATTTAATTATCGGTTGATAGGAAATTTTCTCCTCTTGCGAACAGTGTATAATTTATATTCGTTGCACATTTGTAAATGAAATAAGACAAGAAAAAAAAGAGAAGCATTCGCGCAGTAAATTTATAATTTTTATATAAACTCAACAAAAACACCTTGTTAAACGACAATTAATGCGAACTTTACGGACTTATAAAAAGATCTTGTCAAGCGTTGGTTTCTTCAACTTTTACGAACTCATTAAAAATATTTTGTAAAACGACAGCCAGTTGTGATCAACTGTTATCTACAAGATATTTTTAATGAATTCATATAAAAATTATAAATTTATTCTGCGAATGTTTCTCTTGTCTCATTTCATTTATGAATGTGCGACGAATATAAATCATAGACTGTTCGAAAGAGAAGAGAATTTCCTACCAATTGATAAAAAAAAAACTTTTTACAATCCATTTATCGATGAGACATAAGGATTAACATTTTATGTAGTCCTTTTATAGAAGAGTACGGATTCTTTGTATAAGACTTCTTCTCTTTTCTATTGTTTTCTTTCGTTTATGAATGTGTTATCAAAATAAGTTATATGTAATTCGAAAGAGGACAAAATTCTCTATCTTCTGGTAAAAAAACTTTTTCTTCAGTACTCTTCTATCAAAGACAAATAGATACTGATATTGGTCAGGTTACTATTGCATGGTATGTTATTTGAGCTTTATTGCCTACCACATTTACATAAAATGACCTCAAACTAATATGTTCGCGGCACATGTTGATGGTAGATTTGAAATAGTTTCAAAGTTCGACAGGATAGCTTTGACAAACTTTTGAAGTACAGTGAAGTAAGCAATTTTTGCTTTTTCACTCTTGATGTATACATAACCCTTCAGTCATATTGGAAATATCTAATCTTATAAAGCATATATAATCATAATATATATATCGCGTATAATTTTATTATCTAGTTATGATCTCCGGTAAAAATCATTGTTGTTCGATGAATCAACTCTTTTTGTTGATAATGTTTAAGTGAACAACTTTTCAATCAAATTAAATAATCTTAATCTATTCATTGGAAGAAATCATACATATTTAATAATTGATTGTCTACAATTGATAACATTTACGAAGCAGTTACTTGTGACAATATTTTTTTTTTCTACGAAATATAGTTCGTTATTATTCAATTAAACGAAGAAGAAAACATAATATTTGTTTTAGTTACTCTTGTGAGTTCAATATACTCATTTTATTACAAAAATATAAATTTTACAGTGAAAAATCAGTATTCTTAAGTTCGCATAAAAGACTGAAAGAAAGAAAAACCTCTAGATCACGAACGATATATTCGTATATTCATACAAAGTAACTGAAAGAAAGAAAGAAATATGTTGCTCATAACTAGAGTAAAGCCGAATTTACATATATATATATACAGAAATTATTCAACAAGGAAGAGACTTATGTAAAAAAACAAAAAAAAACAAGAAACGGATTTTTTTTCATCGTGAATTCAATTCATATCGGAAACTGATGGTAATATAAGATCTGCATATGACCGTTTTAATTCATTAAAATCATAGAAAAAAGAGCCAGGTGTCAATGGTTTACAATCTTGTTTAAATCTGACTTCCATTTCATTATATAACATTCGTACTAATATTTGATTAGGATTAGTTTCATGTTGATAAATTTCCCATTGAATATTAGCAGCCATTGGAGCAGTTGTATCACCCCTCCAATGATTGTTTTCATATGTATAAATATCTAAAGGATGTACTGCATTGCCTGAAAAATCAGGAATTTGTAAAAGTGTTGCTATTGGAATGATTATTTCAGCATGTGCGAAACGAAGATGTGCAACAATATTTTTGTTTTTTTCAATACATGCATCAATTGACGAGAAAAAATCAGTGAACAGTGGTTTTGCCATATCATATGTAACTGTAGTTCCTTCGATAGATGGACCTTTCTCGTAGAATTCCTATTAATGAATAACATAATTTGAAATGTGATCATTAAGATAAAGTAAAAGCAAAGAGATTAATTTGACGTGTACGTATCCGATATGACTCTTATGACAAATCATTCCGAACAAATATACACGAAACAGTTGCATGAACATAAATCTCGTCTTTTTTTTTAATGTGTTTTAGATATTCGAAAAATCAAATACCTGTGCATCATTGATATAAGCAAACCATTTTGATTCTTCTTGATTAAAATATTTCGCTAACATTTTAGCTAAATCGGATTGACTTTGACCTGGTGCAACCGAAAACATGTTATAGAGACATAAAACAACATCCACTTCATTTTTTATAATTTTCTTTTCACTAGAATCAATATTTTCTTTAGAATCAATATCATAATTTCCATCGATTAATAAATCAATAAATTCATTTTTATAAATTCTTTGTAAAACTTGTCTTGCATGTGTTTTTGATAGTTCTAAATTTTTAATTATATTTAATTTTGTTTGTATATGTGGATCACTTTCTTTAAATGTCATATAATTAGTACATGATTTATGAAAATAAAGTAATTTTTTATTTGGTTTTTCATGTGATATTTGAATATTACATTCAGATTTTGTTAAACCATTAATAAATTCTTGTGCACTATCTACTGCACGTTTTTTACCACTTGTCATAACAGATATTGTATTCGATGAAATCAATAAGGATTTGAAACGATTAAATAGACGTGTTCCAATACCAAAATGTTCTTCTTTACCTATTTGAGTTAATTCTCCACGTCTGATGAAAATTAATCGAAATGATTACTCGAAAAGAAAACGATAAATCGAAACTTACCCGACACGATTATTTTCATGCATAAATAATTCTATGTCTCTTTTTAATTGTTCACCTAATGGTGTTAACATATTCTTTTGTTTAGCTAATTGCCAAACTGTTAACGTTTCTAAATCATAATCACGACTACTTAAAGTTCGACTTCCATGTCGAGCAAGAAGTTGTATACAAATTGGTTTATAACCAGTTGGTGGTGAACTTAAGATATATTTTTCTGAAGAATATTTATAAGGTGTTTTTGTTGAATAATGTCGTTCATGATTTTCATTATTAACAGATATACTATCTGATTTATGGTTAACAACTCGAGAACATATGTCGTTTTGAATAGCTTTTTTTGATTGTTCCAATTGAACATTTATATCAGGTTGTGGAATAAATAAATTATTCGGTTGAATATATGTTGTAACAGTATTTGATAATAGAATGATACCTTTAACATTTAAATTCCTAGCTAATCTTTCATCTAATTGAATATGATTGATAATGCCAATATTAAGAACTTTTTTTAGAGTCATGAGACGCATACTACGATCTTCATCTAACGATTGAGAAGGATAAGTTTCAGTTGAATTTTCATTTAAATTAGAATTTATTGTTGTCCATAATGCCATTATTGAATTGTTTGAAAAAAGTCAATCTGCCAACGAACAAAAATGTGGTTATTGTAAACAGTCTTTCTATTATTTGTTTATATGTATTAAAACCTAGATGTAAGGTTTGTCTGACATCTATTCAAATTTATTTATTAGATTATGAATTTTTTATGATACCTTCATACAATATTTGAATGATGGAGATATTTTTAACCATGAAAATAATTGCAATGATATTTTACTGTTTATATAGTAAATGTATGTGAATAATAATAATATGATTTTAAAAAATATTTCGAAATAATTGAAGTAATGCCGACAATTGCGCAATAACTAAAGGCAGGCTGTATTCTCACCATTTGACAAACAGAAAAGAAAAAAATATAATTTTGTTCTCGATAACTAGGTTCGTTTTTTTCTTGCTTTCTTTCAAAACAAAATCAAAAGCAAAAATCATGCCTTTAACACAGTCTGACATTTCTGTGATTTATGTTTGAGGACATTTTTATATTCAATACGCAATTAACAACTGAGCCACAGATAAATGAGTTTCGGATATACCGAAAATTAACATAAATGAATGTAGTCTACACTTCTGAATTCTATTTTTAGAACTTAACATCGTGATATACTCTATTCTCTGTATCTTCTATATAGTATAAACTATTGACGATATCTAAAATTAACTTACCTGACTTATATTGATGTTAAAATATTTATCGCCTTTCAAAAGGTTTGTCTTTCTGATAAACTGTGTCTCAAATGTTAATTTTTCCTTTATTGATCAAGATAATTATGTTTTACTGCTTATTCTATTGATCATTATGGAATATGAAGTTCCTATACGATCGGTAGTATGTTAATATGGAATATTAAATTTTCCTTGTTTCTATCATTAGAATGAAAGACTCTAATATGATAGAATTTAGAACATCAATTTCTTTAAACCTTAATCATAAAACTGTAATATAGTTCAACATATTTTCTTTGTTTACATTTTAGTAGGTTCATTTATAAGAAAAATAATTAGCACTAACCAAACAAGCATTATTGCATATGACCTTACCTTTTATTTCTTTGTTAACTTGTATATAACAACATGCATATATTGATTACTTTACTTTTATATGGCACACAACTATAATGGAATTGCAAAAGAACAAGAGTATCAATGTAATGCAACTGTTTTTTTTTTCATATACTATTCAATGGTAGACTATTGACATTACTCACATACTTCCCCCCTACAATCACCGAAAGAAGAAGAAGAAGAACAAAAAATGGACGTAACTGGCTTGGTAGGAAAAATATAATTTAACTGACGTCTTTATTCAAATAAAAGTTACATCGTCGAATATAACTGTCGATCGCAATAATTACTTGGTTTGCCAACTAGTTTCTTAAGTGTCATAAAGCAAACTGGAAAAAAAATCTGCAAGGAAGTGTAACTGAAGTGAACTGTAGTTTCGTTATCCACATGATGCATAATATATATATATGTTTTGTTCAGAAAGTATTTAACTAACAGAAATATCATTATGACAAACGACTGCTTCCGACTTGAAATGCTAAGTATCCTATTAAGATACGACATCAATGATCGGCTTGAATAAATCTAAAAATGTCTAGTTAAACTACGCTGCATACAATCAGAGAACGTTTTAAGCATTGCAAATATATTAAATGAATAAATTGACTATGAATAAAATCAAAGTAGCAAAAAACGTTGATTTAACACAATATCTCCAAATCTTTTTGTATATGCTTTTCATCGTTTTCTCCATTTCCAAATGCAATTCATTAGTGTTCATTTTATTCCTATTAACAATTTTTTTCGTCGGAGTGCGTATGATTGTCTTTCATAATATTAAGACAAACTAATATGTTAATATGAGTGCAATTAATTCAATTGAAAGCTGTCCATTAAATAATTACAATAAATAAAGAAGAATTCAATATGAATATTTTCTTTTTGAAATTTAGCATGATGGTTTTTTTTAAATATACTTAGGGTCATACCAAAAATAGTGACGGAGATAGCTTAATTCAGTGTAGAAACATTGACGAAACTCTCTTTCTGTAGGTATTGATTGTAAAAGCAATGCTCTATTTTTTTTTTGTGGTATTGTAACGAGAAAAAGTGGGTGGATATTTTTTAAATAAGTTTTGATAGAAACAAGATAGAGAACTGTGATTTTCATCGTTGGAAAGAGTAAATGAAGACTCATCAAGTCGTTTATTGCAGAACTTTCCAACTGACTTTTTTGAAAGCAAAGGTAGTGCTGTAGATTATTCATAGTTAATTGTCTATTATCAGGTATGCATTCAAACCGTGAATCAAAGATTTATAAAAGTTCGAAAAAAATTAGCTGTTTATATTTTATCATTCAGCAGTTAAAAGTGTTCTAGTCGATACTCTAAGTCAATCGTCTAGTGAAAAGAAATCACCTTTTTTGCTTCGTTGTTTTTTAATAAAAAATATATGACTCGATGTGTTTTCATCTGCTCATTGCAATGGTAAAAACCGAAGTTCTATATCTTGTTTTCATCAAAAATTATTCAAAAAATATCCATTCGCCGTTTTCTTGTTACATATCATAACAAATAGTTCTTTGTCGAAACAAGAAAGAAACTTTCATCAATTTTTCTACACAGAACTAAGATACCTCTGCCATCACTTTTGATATGTCCTAAGTATTATTCATGTTGCGATAACTTTTTTTATTATTATCAATGAAAACCCCACAACCATGTCGGTCCTAAAAGGACAGTGTAGCTTTTACAATTAACAGGTTACACATAAGAGAGAAAAGCAAGCATAAGTGGAGCAGAAAAAGATAAGAGCGGAATATAATGCATGTCTTATGTGGCCATTCAACGAAGAATTGAAACATGACCTTCCAACTTGCACATACATTCCACCGAGATAACATACGTTGGTTGCTTGTACAGTAAGACAATAGCCGGTAAGCTTATACAATATGATTAAACAGTGTGCTTTGTTCGAGGAGGAGGAATCGAACCTCATACGCTCTGGATCCAAGTCAGAGACGTACCCCATTCAACCAGGGTTCCCCGTATTCATGTTGCGATAACTGTGGTTCTTCTATTTGAACTTTTTTTTCGTATATCTCACGTTATGGAGACGTGTAAACTATTAGAAAAATGTCAGATATCAACCAAAATCGTGCTGCTTGATTACAATGAGTACGTGTAAGCCGCTGCCGCTGACAGAAAATTCAGCTGCTATCGCTGATCAATGTATCAGCTTAAATCTCTAGCCATCAATAACCGCATCGGTGGCTTTTGTTCAGCTTTACGCGTTTAGTACGTACCCTCACCCGAAAAAGTCATCAAAATCGAGTTTTTACAGCCTCAAATTGATTGGATAAATTTCTACCAAAAATTCAAGCTAATTTTTTTAGTTCAGAATCTCGCTGGTCGTTTCGAGCCCAAATCTAGATCACGAGATATTCGTGAAACTATCATATAGGTGGTGCTAGTTTTGTGAATATCTCGTGATCTAGGCCTGGGATCGAAACGGCCAGCGAGATTCCGAACTAAAAAAATTAGCTTGAATTTCTGGTAGAAATTTATCCAATGAATTTGAGGCTGTAAAAACTCGACTTTGATGACTTTTTTCGGGTGCGGTACGTACTAGTTTGGCTTTTTGATGAAAAATGGAAAGTTGAAGCTAAAACCTAATGATTAGTTAGAAGTTCGAACCAATAGAGAAAATTACAACGCCATCTAACATCATGTACTTTTGTATATGCCACAGGCAAAACTAAACTTTAGGCAGAATTCGTTTTAGTTAAGCCCAAAACTACGAAATAATTTCCTTTTTTGTATAAAATAAATTCTAATTTTCGTTTTCATTTTTGTTAAAAAAAGCATAGCACATATCTGCTGTGTTCTTACTAGACACAGTATTAAGTATCTTTATGAACAAGCAAAGTATCATTTAAAATTTTTGGAGTATTAAATTACAAGAAAAAACTTAACAGTATCATGTATTTATACTTTACATATCAACGATGAACTATGCAAAATTTGAAGATAAATAAATCGATAAGAAAATATTATTAAAAAAGTGGAGGCTTCAAAATCCTTTCTGATATGTTATTTTTCTGGCCAGAGTTCGCTAAGACAAACTAAATTTCAACAGAGAACACTTATGAATTCGACAACTTCATAAATTTAACTAAAGTTCAATTAAAATTCACCATAATTTAATATAGATATGTAAAATTAATTCTTTATTCCCATATTTTTCGGTTTTTTAAAAATTATTAAATCTCTTAGACACTGCTTAATTTTAAGTATATATATATATTCTACCCGATATTTTCATGACAGATAATACTATTTAAAATAGAAAATAAATCAACAGAAACCTAGTAAAAAAATGAGTCAACAACATGGCTTGTTAGTTTTGATGAAAACCTGAAGACATATGTCATGTCGAATTTTTATTACGAAGTCTCTAATTAAACATTTTTCATCGAGTATAATGTGATATATTGTTTGCTTTTTTTAGAAACCGTCCATAAAGTCATACCGCGTGTTAAATCTAAAACATTGTATTATTTATTCTTAACTTATATATAAATGTTGTTTTTTTTTGTAATAGCTAGGTAATTAACGAACCTCCTCCCCTTTCTTTTTTTAAATATTATATTTTCGTTCTCTGTGTGTCATATATTGTTAATTACGAAAAATACGCGTCATTATAAAAATGACACAAGAGATATTGCACATAATATAATTCGTCAATTTCGTATGTCCATTTTTTTTTAATCAAAAAAAAAGAAGGAAAGGAAAAATCGTTCTTCTATATTTTTTTTTGTTAATTTGGCCACATGCATATAAATATGTCATAAATGTTTAATTACTTCCATTTTTTTTATTTCGGGCAAGTCAATAAGTTATTGTCGCTGATTATTATTACTATTCAAAAGAAAATTATATCAATGGAAAATGCTAGTGATCACATAGATACAAAATATCGTTTTTATGATGCTTCTGGAGAACCATGTATTTGGTTAACGCCTATCGAAGGATTTGCAAAAAAACCTTTAGTTCCACTTGAAGAAGCTGTTGAACCAATTATTCCAATTATTCCTGATATTCAAATGAAAGTTGATAAGATTAAAAAGCAGGCTGCTGCAATGTATCATGACAATAATCTTTCAATTGATGAATCAGCTGCAATTACATTATATACAATGGAATGGGATCCATATACAAATTCACTTTATTATATTCTTAATTCAACATTACGTGATGAAGATCGAACTAGTTTAAAACCATGGTTTTTATACCTTAAACTTATTATTACTGCATTATCACGTCTTCCAACGATTAGTCGTATTGTTTATCGTGGAATTGCATTATGTGATTATCGTAAATATCAACAAAGAAATAGTATTATTTGGTGGGGTTTTTCGTCGTGTTCAACAAATAAAAATGTTTCAGTAAATGAAAATTTCTTTCATGAAAACGGTGAACCAATACTTTTTATTATTGATTGTATCACAGGTAAAGATATTAGTAAATATTCATTTTTTCAAAAAGAAAATGAAATATTACTTTTACCTGCAACTACATTAGAGGTTGTTAAATGTGATTGTAAAAAAAATAATTGTATTGCAATTCATCTGAAAGAAATTAAATCACCATATCAACTTTTAGAATCAGTACCAATCGAAACACAAATTCCATCAAAGGAAAATTCTTCAATATTTCATAATCTACGAGCATTCATAGAAAAATCTAAACCAATTTTTGATACAAAAATTGATAAAGAAATAATTCGATTACACGATCGTTCACTTGCATGTTTATTTCGAAAACGTTTTACCGATAATGATTTAGAAACGATTGATCAAGAAGTTGTTATAAAGAAACAATGTCGTGTACTTTCTTTAAGAGGACGTGAGATAACACCACAGGGTGCAATAATTATTGGTAAATTTTTAGAAAATAATCATACATTAGAAGAATTGTATTTAAACGGGATTCAAATCGGTAATATGGGTGCTGAAATTCTTGCAGAACGTCTTTCAAATGGAACAAATTCATATTTAAAACGACTTTGTCTTAATGATACTGGTATTACAGACGAAGGTGTTGAACATTTAGCAATAATGTTAACAAAAAATAAATCATTAACTCATCTATGGTTACCAAACAATCCTATACGTGATCTAGGTATACAATGTTTGGCTAGAAAACTTATAAATAATAATACACTTCAAAAACTTTCTCTTGAATGGAATAAATTTACAAGATGTGAAACTGTTGATATACTTATTGAATTGATTGAAAAAAATCAAACATTACAACAAGTTGATTTATATGGACGTGATTTATCTCGATCTGATAGTCGAAGACTAAACATGAGTGCACAAACAAAGAGCAACTTTATACTAAGAATACATTAATCTTTCACAATATTTTCTTGTATGTATTTTTGTTTTTGTTTTCTTTTTTTGTAATTTATATTGTTGATTTTTCTATTTTCATATCTAATATGACTAAATTATATAGATGTGTTTAAACTGTAATTTTTTTGTACAGTAATAATAATTACAGAGTAGAAAGATTTCTTTAAGTTTTTTCGAGTGTTTTAACAACAACAACAAAAAAACAATACTAAGATTTTTTATTTATTCTTAATAAATTGATTTTAGTGATTGTGAAAAGAATAATCATTTATTTTTTATCTTCACTTATGATAGTTATAGATAAATTATGCTTATCGAAGCTAATTATATGAGTTTTTAATAGGCCTTAGCTAATTTAGTGAGGTCACAGTGCATGTAAGCGTACCATACTATCGATAGGTCATATTAATCTTTGAGTAATTCACTGCCTTGAGGGTGTGCGTGTTAAGCATTTGACGATAAAATGCTGCTAAATATACAATCCATTAACTTAGTGAAAAGTTTTTTATAGAATGCAATAGAAATTTGGCAGGTATCTGATATCTACCCATCTATTGAAACAGTTCTCAGTAAGGTCGTCAACGGAGATTCTATGACATACTGGTAACAAGGTATCCGAAAAGGTATTCTGCTGGCAACAGATCCAGGACACCGATACTCTGGATTCAGTACATTCACTAGGTAGCGTATTAGTATAGTAGTTCAAATTACTGCCTATGTGTGTTTTTGAGACGATGACAATAAATAGACGCTCGAAATACTATTGTCTGAGAATTTTTTTTGAAAAAGATGACACTTGCACATAGCTGTCCATTCCTCAGAACTGTTTGACTGGTAAACTGTCCATAAAGAAAAAATTCCTGGCCATGCTACAAGCCTTTATTTAACGTATATTAAAGACATCTTATTTATTTCTTGTTTAGTAATCGTATTTTTCTACAATCAGGTACAGTAATTTAGTAACTAAAAAAATTCTTACTACGAGTTTGAACTATATCGATGTAAAACAGAAAGATGCTATGAAACATATATTGCTATTGAATTCAATTCCATTCGAAATGGAAACAGATAAATGATATAAGTAGGAAAAAAGTGTATCATAATCTGTGAAAAGGGAGACGAAATGAGTCCAAAGTCCTACCCTATATATTTCAACATTCAGCTTAGATCATGTTTTACAAAATAAGAGTATAATGCATTTATCAAACAACTAACATGAATAAGAGAATCATTTATATTGATACTTTCCTTTGTTGTCGTACTCATCTTCGCATAAGAATATTCTGTAATGTTAAAGAACAGTTTTTATATTGAATTCATCAATTCAAAAATTTATCGATTTCTTAAAATATTTTTTTCTTTCGTAAAACTTTATATTGCTGATTTTTTATCAGAGATGCTCATGGTTCGGTTTCAACAACAACAAAAAAAATAGAAACTAATTATATGCCTATTATTAATATTATACCATAACATCAAATACAATTTCGTTTTAAATATAGTTAAGTTAATGATATTTTTCATATACATTGTTTCATCCAATGTTCGATTACTTCCTGTGACTCTCCTATGATTCAAAAATACATCTTGAAAATCATATTAAACTAAAGCAGTGAAAAAAGTTTTTCAAGAAATTAAAAACAAAGCCATATGATGTTCAGTTTGATTATTCAATTAACAAGTATTAATATCAATTTTTTTTGAAAATAAGAATAATTTCTTATCCATAATATTGAAAGAAATACTTCGGTTAAATTTGTACTAAATCAAAGCTGGTGTATCAGAAAAAGATAAAATATTAACATTACAAATCGTTTGATAAAACTAAAAGAAAAATAACACTTACATTTGATTGAATCTACTAATTTTATATCCTATTTTTTGACACGTTGAAAAATAGTTTTTAAATTTGATGTTGAGCTCATTTGATAGAAAATGTTTTCCGATCAAAACTTGCTTGTTCGCATACAATGCACATAGTCAACAGTTCTTCCAACGCTTCACTTATAGATAATGACAATATTGCATATAAATAATGCTAAAATATCAGTTATGTCAAAACATTCTCTTAAATTTCTATATTTCCTAATTCATAGTTCAGAATTTGGCAAAAAAATATGTGGAAATAAATTCATTTATGAATTGGAAAAAAAATAGCTCAAAAAAGTCTTATTTTTTTCAGAATTTCCTTTATTGCGCAGTTGTTTTTTTTTTATATTGATGATCTAACTGTTTAAATTAAAAGTTTAACAAAATTCGTTTAGAATCAATTTTATCATTTCTAAGTGAATCACATTAAGGTCATTCTTTGGAAAGTTTTATTGAAAACATTTCCACGATATGAAGTGCACTCTTTAAAAGAAATCTTTGCGTCATGATATACGATGGTTAGCATGATCTCAATTATCATGTTATCAATAAATGTACGCATTTTTTTTATATATTCTCCGTTCATAACTTTTCTTCATAGCTGAGTACCATTGATGAGAAAAAACTTCTTTTTTTTTATAATTCAGATACTCATATGCAATTTATTCAATTTCTAATTTTTATCTTGTACCTCTTATACTAAAATTATAGCTCGTAAATATCTGAAAACGTTGAAAAACGATTGTGATAATTCTCTGATTAAACAAGATATTCTTTTTAAACTTCATGTAATGTTATTTGACACCTTGTCTATTTCATTGAATTTTTGGTTGTCTTTTGTCACATACAACTATCAATTATATTGTCTTCGTATGTCCTTGTTTTGTCACCTATATACAATGCGCATAGTTTGTGCATGTCAGCCTTTATATATGAATTCAATTTTTGACATGTAACGTTCGTAATAATAGAAAGTGTTCGTAAAAGATTGCACTAAACCTAATTGAAGTACATAAATTTAATAGTGCACAGTAAGAAAAAAGCTGTGTCAAATAAGACAATATATCATGACAATACGAACCTCATAAAAGGCATCGTTTTTCGGTAGAAATGAATCTAAACAGCGCTGTTTACGTTCCAATGAAAAAGAAATAGAATTGTTTTATAACTAGTTTAGGCCGTTTAAGATAGTGATAGAGTCAGAATACTTGTGTCCCTCTTTTTTTTTTTGTTAGGGCAAGAGACAGTGGCAAGTGGCGTCCACGCTATGTGCTTTGTGTTGTCATGAATACGCAATGCCAAGAGATTGGTAGCACTCTTCACTATTCTTCTCAGAACAAGAGAGGAGTTAGTATTCTATCTTCGTTGTTAGCTACTCTACTGGTGATTTGTGTCCTGGATAATACAGCACACGTAACGAGGGCGCCACCTATCACTGCTTTTATTCTTCGCAAAAGAAAACAAGATTGACGCTATGTATTTGGATTCCACTACTAATTAAAATACAATTTTCAACAAACGCAATCGTTGTTCTTAGTAAAAAGAAAGAAGACACTTGAATGATTAAAAAACTATTAACTAGCTGACTTTCTACGAATGGGACATTGGTTTGAAAATAAAAAGTCAAAAATTTTACAACAACATAGTTTCTCTATAAATTAGGTCAAAGTTAAATTTTTAAAACTTTCTAAAAAAAAATCTTATAAGCAGAGAACAAAACTGACCATTTCAATACAATACATCCTTTGTGTCATTTACGTATAAATGACGATTTCTTATAAAAATAATCTGAGATCAATATTTTTCATAAGTAGTAATAAGTTTTTGAGCATTTGCTACTTTTTTCGATGTAAAAGAAAAAAAGAAATAAAACAGGAACGAATTTCATCTCTAAAAGACCTTGTAGACTACCATTATAAAACATCGCGTTATGCAATGCGTCTTCACTAAGGTATACAAGAAATAACATTATTAAAAATTTTCTCAGTATTCACTATCATGTTGTTTTTTTGTATATTCATTTTCACGTATTACACAAAATTAACTCAATACTGTGAATATTTTGATAAAAATTTAGATAACTAATATTTTATCAACAAGCTATATATAATAATTGTAAAAATCAATGCAAATACGTTTTTTTTCTTTATCATTCGAAATAAAACAGCGAAAGCATCCTTCACGTATCAGTCATAGTGCATATAGCAAAATATACATCGAGTAGGTGGATATACAGCTTATTCGTTCTTTTTTCCTTCGTTGATTGTATATCACGAAGAGAAAAATGATAGACAGAAAAATTAACTCGAACACTGATTATTTTGCTTATGTGGTTTTCTGCATACACGTGAGATACAGGTAAATAGAATAGTAATAACAAAACTTGGGTTTTTTTTTAATTAGAAAAAAACAAGGCAATATATGATTCCTAAGTTAATAATATTCAACATTTTTTTTTGCTTATTGATTTTATACGAGTATAATATTAATCTAATATATTAAAACAATATAAAAAAGGAGTCATTTGTATCACGTTGACTTTATTTGAAATGAGTGTTTTATGTAACATCAACAATTTTTAGAATCATTATTGCGTACAATTTTCTATAGAGAGATGTGTAGATAAGCTTATATTGATATTTTAGTATGGTAAATGTTTAATGCAGGTCAGATGGAGATATAAAAAAAAGCTTTCATATTCGTTGAATCGATAAATATCATACGAGAAATCTTCATTATTTTTTCGTTCTAAACTTGTTTGTAATTTACGGTTTTATAGTAGTTATGAAAAATATTTTTTGATAAGAATAGAAAAATGTTAAACAGTTTGCGCTTATACTATCTCGTTCGAAGGTCATCATCATTATATTACGGATTGTAGCTTGCTAGAAAAAATATTGATTGATAAGGTTTCGAGGTCAAGTTTTGTCAAAAATCAATCTCAAAGTCCTTCAAATAATTTAATAAATTTCAGATGAACTAAAAATTTCCTTCTTGAAATACTTAATTGTCACAAACACAATTTTGTTTCAAAAGAAAAAGACTATAAAAATCTAAGTTATTTCCACATTAAACATTTCAAAATAAAAGAATCCATCTTTTTTGTCTGAATCTATTGCAATATACTTGAATTCCGTATTAGTTTAGAAAGAAACCCATGTACACGAATCATTTTTTATTTTATTGTTTTCATCAAAGTTCACTTTTACCAATAATAAGACGTCATCGGCTCTGAAGCAGTTTATATAAATAGTTTTATTGGGTGTGCCTGTGGTTGCGGATGAAGGCAACATGCTCACGACGACTAAAAAAAGAATGAAACTCATAGTAGCTTGAAAAGTATAAAAGTAAAACAAGATAAGTTTAAATTCTCGTGAAACCTTGAAGCGGCGTATCTACAAAAGTTTTAATCAAACTAAAAAGAACATTGATTTCTAATTTATTATCTTTCTTTTTTAATTTCTATTATTTAAAGCTAAAGGTCTGAAAAAATAAGTGAAAAAATGATCTCAAACAAAAACGATATTAACAATCAAAAGAATTCTCATGAAATTTGCATATCAAATAAAAAACTTCAAGCAAATTCTTCCATAAAAACAATACACGTCAAAACCAGTATTAATATTTCTCTTATGTTAAACGATGTTGAATCAAAATTTCCACATTCTCAATCAATATCATTTCGATTAAAACCTGCTACTCCAACATTACCATTATTACCAGAAGATAATAATAATAATAAAATTTTCAAATCCGAAATTTATTTTAATCCAACACTTAATGAAAAAATTAATCTTTTAGAACCAAAACTACATGCTGATTTATCTTATTGTTATTTAACTGATGCCGATATGTCAATCGTCATTAATGATATAATTATTGATAAAAAATGTACAGAACTTTGGTTACATGGAAATAACATAACATCACGTGGTGCAGCAATATTATCATCAAGTTTAATAAATAATTCAAAATTAAAAAGTCTTGACTTATCATTTAATTCAATTTCTGATACAGGTGTATATTCATTAAGTCAAGCATTATTACCAAATAAAAATTCATCTCTTAAAATTCTTTATCTTAGTAAAAATAATATTTCAAATGATGGAGTTATATATTTATCTGAAATGCTTAAAACAAATTATACATTAAAAGAATTATGGTTATCACATAATGGAATTGATGACGAAGGTGTTAAAAAATTAGCTCATGTATTAGCTTATTATAATAAGACATTGAAAACTTTATCTCTTTCAATGAATATGCTCATAACGAATGCATCTATTGATTATCTTATTGAAATGTTTGAACATAATCGAACATTAAAACACATTTGGATCAAGGATTGTAATTTAAGTGAACAAGGCAAAATGAAACTTCGTCAAAAAGCTAATCAAAAGAGAAATTTAAAAATTGAATTGTAATGTTTGTAATAAGCTATTAGAAGAAAGTTTAACAACAATGTATTTTTGATTTTTTTCTATAATGTTAAGCATCTAGCTCAAGTTTAAATAGAGGTTTTAATAGCTCATCAAGATTTCTATGTAATGTATTCTATACTTCGATTTCATAGATGAATATGAATGGCAAAGTTTCTAAAAAATTAGACATGATAGTTTTTAGGTCATACAGAGGACTTTACAATCTTCCCATAAAAGATTAAAAGTATTAGAAAACCGAAATTTATCGAGTAAAAAGACGCCTTGTTTTGGTTTTTGTAATGATTTCAAATTTTCATGGGAAGATCGTAGAAAACTTGACAAATTCTCATTTTGTTCAGAATTCTGTGTTATTTAAAATGGCAGTGTTAAAAATAGTGTTGATACTCTCGGCTAGGATCTAAAAATTACTGTGTCCAGTTTTTTAGAAACCTTATCATCATATTTTATCTATAAAATCTTGGTATAAACTACATTAAATAGAAAAATTCATTGGTTATGAAAATTACTATTTGGATTTGAGCTAGGTACTTAAGATTATAGAAAAAAAATTTAAAAAACAGTGGTTGTTAAGATTTTCCTACTACCTCATTTATTAATAATAAATAAATTTACTATCAAAATTTTTACATCTAACAAAAGAGTATCTCTAATTGTCGAACTCCGTTCGATTTGATATTAGAGTGATGATTAAGTCTCATAGAGACTAAGAAAAGTTGATGTGAAATTTCGTTGATAGGTTTATCAAATAATTATTAGAAAGTTCTGAAAGTTTCACAGAAAATGAACGTGTCATTCTTGAGTGATTCAACTTTGAAGTGGACTACACTATTGCATCCTTCTCTTGTAAGTTAATTTTTTTTTTGTTGGGAAAATTGAATATGTCAAGAACGCATGATCGTTTTTTATGAAACTTTCGGAACTTTCTAATGATTATTAGATCAATCTAGAGGTAAAATTTCACTTGAAAATTCTTCATTATGATATTATCGGAAATGGTTTGTTCCAACTAAAATATCCAGTAAAACAACGATAACTTTTTATCATTAGTCGATCAGTCCAAATCTTTTTTTCGGCATTTTTTTTCTAGTTTCAGATAGATATACTTGTAGTCATAATATCATATCAAAAAAGTGTCTGACAGTTGGAGATGCTGCCTTGTAAGAATTAATCCGTTCAATGTTCATATGTGCGTAAAATATCACCAATAAAAAGTTCATGCAATAAATTTACTTGAATAGATATTATAGATTTGACAAGAAAATTCTTAATGGCATTGCATATTTTAAGATTTTATCATTTGAGCTTTACACAAATTATCTTTCAATATTGTGTATTTACATTTTCGAGAAAACACAAATACACGCATTTTCCAGTTGTGTCATATCCAAAAACAAAAATAACTAAATATGCTTATCACATATATGCTGAAAATATAAGTTTATATTAAATCAGTTTCGGTTTTAATTAAGATGTAATCAATGATAACTATCAATATTCGAGATATTTTTATAAGATTATAAATCTTTTCAATCAGCAAATAGCACGATACATAATGATGAATATTCTATCAAAATAGAAAACATCTTTATTTAGTTAACATATATTTAGTGACTTGTAATATTTTTGTAAGACTGTTTGTTTATTTTTTTTAAGAGAGAAAATATTTCTAATGATTTTCAGGCTGTCAAAATCTGCAATATTGTTCAAATAAATTTAAAGTTTGTCGACTTATAACTTTCATTTTCGAACTTCTGATGACTTCTATTTAGAAAAAATATTCAATACCGAGTCTTACCGCCATTCTAAAAGAAGCTCAATTGAAAATCGTAGATATTTATTCTTAAAATAATGTGCTGCAAAATCCACTAAAAGTTACTATTATCATTGATTCTTCAAGATCTCTTCCCAAAACAAAAAACACATGATGGAGTTGTTGGTATTGTAGAAGTAGGGATTAATCAATATATGTTTCGGTTTATGAATTCCTTTCTACTGTTAATGCATCTCGATAATGAAAAATATCGAAATATATTGCAATGAATGTGAAAGAAAAGTGAAAAGGCACTACTATACGACTTCTGCATAGAGTTTGATCCCGCGATTATGTTTGCCATAGTCTGTGACGATCGAGAGGCGTTGCCAAGGTGAATATGGCGGTCCGTAACGATTTCTTAAGGCTACCTTCTCTCTTTTGGACCATTTCTGATCTTTGTCCCCTCAGGCTACAATATTTTCTTGGAAATATCTGAAACAAAATTACAGCCTGATCAAACAGAGTAAGACCGAGATTGTAGCAGGCCCGATGGTTTTTGAAGACTTAATTTTAAAATTTTTTTTTAAATATAAGTCTCATCATTTTCGATAATTTGGATGTGGTAAAAATTTGAGCCCGACTGGTTGCACTCTTACAGAAAACTAGAGGTGTTCCAGAAGACGGGAGTACCATTCATGATGCTCGTCACATCTGTAGGTAACATGGGTTCAAATTTCTATCCGTATACTTCAACACTCCTTTTAGATCATGCTTAACAAAAATCTTCATTCTAAGACATGTGCAAAGTTTTCAATAGACCACGTGTTGGTTAAAGAAAAAGTACTTTATTTTAATATTATCTCGAAATAAATAGCAAAAGATGCATTAAATTTTTTTTTATTTATTTGTTAGACGTTTTGTATTCTGTCAGTAGAAAAAAAAACACCCAATGATCATACCATATTATTCTTATCAGTAAATGGTAATAGATTGCAACATACCTCTAACCCTAGAAATTCAAAACAGAATAGACAAAAAACAAATATACTACTATTTTAGAAAATAGTATTAGAGAAAAATAAATTAATTTATTATTTTGTAAATTTTTTTATTGTAATTTCTATTATGACAACAGAATATCCTTGGTATGTCTATTTTTTAATTGAAGCAATTTTAATGACAATACCATATTATGGTATAAATTTATATGATTATTTAACAAGATCTAAACCATGGAGATATGAAATACAAAAACGAAAATCTCAAGGTATTGAATTACAAGAAGCTTCTGTTTTTTCACATACAATAATACACTTTATAACACGTGCTTCTATATGGTATTTTCATATTTATGGTAAAACAATGTCAAATATGAATTATATATCATTAATATCATTTATATTAAAAATGATTCTATTTGATGGTTTAGGAATAATATTTCATCAATATCAACATTCAAAATTTGGTCGAATATTTAATCATTTAAAACATCATCAATTACGTACACCAACTTTAGCTAGTTCAGCATATTTGTCGATGGGTGAATTAATATTAAGCAGTCATATTGGATGGTTATTAATTGGTTTTATTCCAGGTTCATTTTGGGATCATTGTTTATTTTTAGTTATTTCATCAACTATTAAAAGATTATGTCATAGTAATTATGATCATCCATGGGAACATACTAAATTATATCGTTTATTTCAATTAGTTGGATCACGTGAACATCATGTACATCATTTACATCCGAATAAAAATTTTGCTGATTTATTTATTTTTTGGGATCAATTATTTGGAACTTTTCTTGATCCTAAATATGTCGATGGAATTTATAATCATGATAATATTATGACTGGCAAAGTTGAATAGAATTTTTATGTTGAATACTTTTTTTCATTTGAACAAAAAGTTTAAAATATTAATATATATATATATAACCAAAAACGTCATTCGTTTCTTTTTTAACAACAAAATAGGTAAGACAAGACATGTATCGCTTAAGTTCTACATTTAGTATTTATTCAATGTTCTTTTTTTCTCGTTTGATTGGCAATATTATTCAATCGAAGCAAAGCTAATTTGCAGGAGTTATCGTATTCTTTTTCAGAATTTTCTTCAACGTTGTCGGATTATGCTGAAAATTTTATTACAGAGACTATTAACTCTGATGAATGTACTGAATGCAAAATTACTCGTGTAGTAGGATGATTTTCAGCAGAATATCAGATATGATACCTTGCTGCTAATGTGCTATCGGATCTTCGTCGAAAACTCTACTGTGAATTGTTTCAATACATGGAAACAGATTATGTATCTATTCTGATATTTAACTAGTCGCTACTGCATTCTGTAAAAAAAAACCTTTAACAAGTTACTCATTTCAGCAGTTAGAACCATTCAGGATTAGATTCTGTCAAGTTCAGAATTTTTGGCTACATGTTTAAGATTAACCCAACGGGCTCTATTTCTAAGCTAAGCATGGGAAAGATCAAAGTATCGCAAAGTTTCTGTGACCTATTGATAGCTCAGTATTCTTTCGAATGCCCTGAACTTCATAGTTTTACTAGAAAACTTTTTCTCCAGATGTGTATTTATCATTTTCTATTCACAAGCTGTACAATGTTTTCAATATTGATACACCGACAGATAGTCCTTCGGACAGTTGAACTTGACATAAAGAAAAAGTTAAAGAAAAATTTTTGTTTCTGCCAAAAAATATAAGATTTATAATGCTTAGTCATGCTTGATTAAGATACCGCAACTTTTCATGATCTTGATAGAACTATTTTCTTGTCAGGTGATACTTCTACTCTTTCTATGAAAATGTGTGCATTTCAATTAACTATCTACATATGGTTTTGTATAAATAATGTCAATCTACAGAGAGAAGTCGAAACGTTTTCGATTACCATTCAGTATTCATTGTTAAAAAAAATCTACAAGATTATGAATCAATTATATATTATTAACAAAAAAAAAATTGTTTCAAGAAAATCTAGTTCACCGAAGTAAGTAGCCGAACTCAATGTCATAATGATCACTTGTTTTTGATGAAACACTGTTTAGTATTAGGAAGACATTTGAGATATTATTTAATGAGTTAGATATCGAATCAAATTTCTTTTACTCCATTTTGATAATGGCACTCCTATTATTCCTAATTTCGACGCATATTAACAAGGATGCATGTTAATTACAAAAGATTCATTTGTCAATTATTTCCTTATTTTTTTTTCTTAGTATATCTATTTCAATTCGTAACAAATTTAACGGTTCGATTTCATGTCGTCTACTCATTGAAACTTCAATGTCTAGGCCTCACACGAGGTTCCCAAGATTGAGGGGAGAGGGGCTGTATACGAAAATGTCTCAGAGAGGTTCTACAGGGTGTCCTAGAATATTTGTAATATAGTCTATTTTGCATATATATTTCGTTACACACAAAATATAAAACCTTGAATTTCTTTCGACTTGTTCCGATAATAGATTTTTGAAAAAACTATAAATCAAGATGTATGAATGTGAACCGTTGCTATTTTAGTTTCTCTGGAGAGTAATAAAAAAATTTGCAATGCCCTTAAATTCTCTAGAATAATTAACGTGAAAAATTTTGTTGAGTTTTTTCAATAGATTTCGAGATGACTAAAAAGAAAATATACGAGATGATGAAATTTCTCACTGCAGCTGTAAAATAAACGGCCTTGAAATAGCAAGCTTATCACCGAAATCGAGTTAATTATACAAAAATTAGTTGTTACATACAATGATACAGTCAAAAAGATCTTTCTGATGTCCAAAAATCGTCAGAAAGAATTAAAAGTTAGCAACATTAATTAGTTGCTTTGAGAAATAATGAATTGAACTCATTCGAGAGAGAGATTTCAGCATCTCGTAGGTTTTTTTTTTTAGTTTTCTCGAAATCTATTAGAAAAACTCAACAAAATCTTTTACTTGAATATATTCTAGAGAATTTAACGGCATTACAAATATTGTGATTACTTTCGAGAAAATCGAAAATATTGATCGATGTTTCACATGTCCTTATTTTAGTTTTTTCAAAAATTTATCGAAACAAGTCGGAAGAAATTCAAGATTTTATATTGTGTGTAGAGAAATACATATGGAACATAGACTGTATTGTAAACATTCTGAAACATCCGACATAGAATTTAAAAACAAAAATTTACCCATTTTGTCGGCTAATAATGAATGATTTTCAATTATTGCGGAGATTCACACCCTCCACATTCCCGGGAGCTATCAATACCAACACTACCTTTACCCATGAAAACAGTTTCTATAATAATATTCGGTTTTTCTTTTCTTTACATACCATTATTTCTTAAATAAAATTAACATCATATTTCCAATTTCAATTATTCATATTATGATTACATTGAAATACTGTCAGTATCTTTTAGTTTAAATGATGTAGATAATTCTATTCTAGCTGACTGAAAGTAAAATTTTACCTATTATTTAGCATGTTGTCACATTTTTTTTTAAATATTTTCCTATAGCTTGATTCGATATAGTTATCATTCAGTTATGTAACAAACAGCATCGGTTTTAGAAATGCTCCGATTGCTATTTCTTCATATATGTAATTCATTAATTGTTAGTATTAAAACTTTTATCAAGATGTATGCGGACAATAAAATACTAAGTATTTTTAGATAATATTATCTTATAATAAATAACTCTCATGCATTATTGTTTCTTTCCTATTTTCAATATTCAAAAGACATGATTATACTCCAAAGAGAAATCTAATTAGTAAATAACAACATATGAGAAGAAGTTCTCAAATTGGTCTTGCAAAAGAAAAAACAGAAACTTTTTTTTTATCATGTAAAAAATTACTCTTTATGCGAACATGTTTATATATAGTCGTAGATTTTTGCATAAATCTTTACTGAAATCTAAAATCATACATAGACAAGAATGATCTAGAGTTACTATTAAATTGTCATATATGATCATGACATCTGAAAAGCATAACAGTTAAAATAATATATAAAAATTTTTCATTTAAATATTGATTAAAATTATTCGATTTAAAGAATTAACATTCATGATAATTATTATTGAACAGAGTACAAGTTATTTTATGTTCTTAGAATTACATTAGATTTTATGGTTGATTTCATTTAAAAAAAACAAATGTCTTCTTCAAATGATACTCTTGATGATTGGTATACTAATGCAACAATACAAATAAATCGTTATTTGACAATAATTGTCTTTTGTTTTGGTACTATTGGTAATATACTTAATATTCTTATTGTATCACAACGACCATTTCGATCAAATCCATGTATGTGGTTATTTCTTATATCATCATATGCTAATCTTCTATCTATATTATTTGGTCTTACAACACGTATTAAATCTGGTTGGAGTTATGATGTCACAGATACAAATGCTTGTTTATGTAAAATTCGTGCTTTTATTGTATTTACATCACGAACAATAGCTTCTTGGCTAATTACATTAGCTACAATTAATCGATGGGCTTCATCATGTATTAATGCTAATTATAGAAGAATGAATACATTAAGAAAAGCTCAACAAGGTACAATTATAATTATTTTAATTTCAATTTTACTTTATGTTCACATGTTTTATTGTTACGATGCTAATCGAACTGATGTTCCATTGAACTGTTATAGTAAAACAATTTTATGTCGTCATTTAACTGATCTTACATATGGATTTATTACTGTATTATGTCCTTTATTTCTTATGTTTATATTTGGTTTTATGACTATTTTAAATGTACGACAAAGTAAACGTCGTACGTATAATCTTATTTTAAAGGTAATAGACCAAAATAATACAAAAATATTAGATGATCAACATAAACGATTAAAGAAAAAACCAGATTATCATCTTCTTTTGATTCTATTTGTTCAAATATTCCTTCTTACTTTACTAACACTTCCACAAGCTATTCAAAAAATATATTCAACAATTATTCAAAAAAATTCTTTGAATTCATTAGATGAAGCTATTAATGATTTTATTTATAGTTTTGTACTGCTTCTTTCATTTATAGCTAGTGGAATACCATTCTATATTTATACATTATGTGGTGGAAATATTTTTCGTCGAGCATTATATAATCTTATTAATATGATTAAAAATAAAATTACATGTCAATCATTAGAGATTTTATGAATTGAAGCAGAACTTTATTAGTTTTCTCTATTGTAATTTTAAATATAATAAAAAACAAAAATGAATATATATTTTTGTATAAATGTATCGTTGAATTGTTTTCTAAATTTGTTGTTTTGATTATGTTAAAAATAACAACGATGTATTTTATTCAATATTCAATATAATAAAAATAACTTGATCATCAAACATAAAATGAACATAATGATTAGCGATACATTGCAAAGGAAATTTCAATCATTCAAATAGATTTTTATTATTCAACCTCAATCAGTTCTCGAATCAAAACTTATAAATACAAAGCTTGTACATGTTGATTTGATTAAGATTTTTCATTCGAAATGTATTTTCTAATCAATCAAAGCGCTATAGTTCTATTTACGGAATAAATATTCTATAACAATAAAGCTTGAGTAAGCTATTTACAGTTAGTACCTCGAGTCATTGGAACGCTAGCATACTTACAAAATTATGGAATATATTTGTTATTTCAAGTTAGCTTTGAGATATACTTGCTCGAGATTTTTTGATAAGTTCGTCAAACAATTTCCAATCACCTGAATAAATATGTTCGAGGAGATCAGATTTATCTGAGAAAAAAAAATCATTATTGTTCGATAGATGCTTAATGTTCTAGTCGCCCAAGACTATTAAATAAATGTGAAAAAGGAGAGTTCAACGTTGGTACGTTAGATTAATTTTCATCGGACGTGTTAAACTATATGTTAACAATTATTCTTCTAAAAATGTCATCGTTTAAACTCATCAATGAATAATAATTTGATAATTATGTTCGATATTTTTTACCTTTCGCTTGTTATTTTAATAGATTAAAAAGGAAATTTTCTATCAAGAAAAATAATAATAACTTTTTTATATCTTTAACCAATAAAAGACCATTTTTTTCAATTTCGTGTGCCATGTAAACAGGTTATCTAATAAATAGGACATAGCATTATAATTTAATATACATAATAGAATATGAAATCCATATACATAAATATTTTCGAAGAGTTCCAAACGTAACAATTCAATACATTTCTATCATAGCTCCATCCGGTAAATTTAATTGTTGAGTGTTACAATTTTTCATGTAAAAATCATTATTAATAATATGCAGCTACTTTTATGAAGTTCCTATCTATGTTCCTAAGAAAATAATGAATGTTTAAGTAGAAGTTCTGCTGCTCCCTCTCTTCACTACAGACCCTAACAACTAAAATTAAAGATTATTGAATACGATTTCATAGCAATCGCATAAACAAATCAATCACTTGAATACGGTAAAAATAGAAGATTTGTATAGAGAATAACATTAGTTGAAACTTTAACATTAAAGAGAGAAGCAAACAAAGAAAAGAGTGTAGAAGTAAGCTACTAATATGTGCAGTAGTAATGATGAGGCAATGTTTTTTTTCTTATTATGGATAGTGCTTCAGTATCGGTCTATAACTATTTCAAATATAATCATTTATTAGTTGATCCAAATTGATTGTTATCGTATATTTCTCTTCTATAGCATAGTAGAGTCAACATTCTATTTATTTTATACATTAACGAAATCCATAACAATTTAATCACATTGAAAATAATTTTAAAAATATTTTTTAATATTTTTTCACTAATGTTGATCACTATTAATAAGTTAATATATCTTTCATTGTGTAAAACTTTGATTGTTTCAATTCATTAGTTTCAAACTTGAAAGTTTATTTTATTACATATCAGATAGTTCATACAGAATATGTAAGTTACGTATTTCAACCCCAACGAGGCTGCGCTGAGAAGGTTTATATATATATATATATAATGAGAAACGTCGAGTATATTCTTTTGTTTGTCATGAATATTATTTTTCTCGCTCGATCTTTTGTCAAGCTTTTCATTGATGACGACCGAATAAAGATCGAAATATCTGAATAAATCTCAAGTATATTATATTGAAAATAGCTGCATATTATGTACAATGATCATCAATTAGATAATGAGTATTGTCGAGAAAATGATGAAACTAAGATAATGTTGTATATCAAGCAAAAATAATTTTACTAAGATCATTGAATAAAAGTAAATGATGTTTAAACATTAGATTATGAAGAAGTTTTATGTAAATCAAGATAAGCTCGAGTAGTTGAAACAATCATTGTAATAGATTTTTCTCTTTCCGAACACTTAAATTTCAATAAGTTTCGAATGATCGACATTCCAACAGAATAACTATAGAAATGAAATCTAAAGTTACGCATAAAGTTAAAAGTTTTTTTTAAAACTTCTGATATAATTCCGATGAATTCAATAAGTGATACTAAATAAGATATTTTTAGTATATAGTGTTTACATGAAATATTCCCTCTTGCGTATTGCATACGAGTGAAAATATTTTATCAAACAAGAAAAAAATTTGTCAAAGATTTCAGGAGAAGATACAGTCATAAACAAAAGTGCTTAGGACTGATCGAAAGTTCCGATTACGGTGCTTAAAGGCTCTTGTCGGATAAGGTAATTTATTCAGAACGGAAAAACTAAATATACCATGTTGTAGAGCATTTGTGACGCGTCGAATGGTATATAGTAAATCCTGTTTTCATGAGACTTCGAATGAAATAGAGTCAATATACTAATAGACGACTACACATTCAGACCCACCCACACCCTAGTCGTCTATCAGTAAATTGACTCTAGTTCGTTCGAAGTTTTATGAAAACAGGATTTACTATATACCATTCGACGCACTGTAAAATGCTCTACAACATGGTATATTTGGTTTTTCCTTTCTGAATAAATTACCTTATCCAACAAGAGCCTTTAAGCACCGTGATCAGAACTTTCGGTCAGCCCTATGTATATACTAAACTAATATGAAAAACTTTTTTGTTTCAAATTTCACATTATCCTTATTATTAAAGCTTCTTGCATGTTTAATTTAATAATGCATTAAATTAAGTAAATTCTATTAAAAAGTTTTATTACGTATGATAATCAGTCACATGGATAATTTTATAAAAAATGAAAGTTTTCAAGTTCTTGACATGCTCGATTTCTCATTATAATATTAATATACATTTCTGTCGCTTGAAGTGAATACTTGGCAAAAGAGCTTGAAAACATAATTATCATATTCCGTCTTAGAAGATATAGTCAACAAATATTTTCAACATCGGATGTTAGCATCGTTTCATTATTAAATAATGTAGAAAATTAAATTATGTGCCATTTTGAAATTTTTATTTATCGCTTTTTGTTGGTACAATAAGTAAAATTTTTAAGATTTTCGTTTCATTACAAAAAAGACTTCTTACAAATCCATGTACGAGGCTTATTTTAATGTTATCAATCACTAATCTCACAACATTGTTTTTTTTTTGTGTCAACGAGTCGAATATTACAGTGTAGATGAAATATGTGTGTACACGTGGATGTAGAGTTTGGGGATTCTAAAAATTACTCGGAACCGGAATTTCACTTCGGATTCCAATTCCGGTTACTATCAATAGGGAGAAAAGACAATTCCGGTTTCGGTTCCCAAAATATTATGTGGCATCGAAATCGGTAAATCATCTGATAGATACAAATATTTTAATTTTTTTTCGAGATTTTTTACTATTGAATTGTTGACATTAAAGGCGCTAATTTGTTGGTACCTAAACAAAATCTTCAATTTTACGAATGGAAAAATGTGCATTTGTTGACATATATTTAAGAATAATTGTAACTATCTGATAATTTAACAGTTCTAAAATGTTTTTTCCATGATTCCAGTTCGGTTCATAGTTCTAATTTTTTTTCAAATCACCGAACTCTAATAGGGTGTGGATTCCAATATTCACGTCACGTATACCTACACCCACACGCTATTTTTCTAGTTTCGACATTTTTTTTTCGTTCTTTCTACGACCAATCATTAAGAATCATGGGTGTAGAATCTGTCATAAAACTAAAGAATTCTCTCGAGTGCAATTTCTTCGTGTCTTCAGCTGCTGGAATAAAAAATACATGTAGTTCTTTGTTTTGAATATATATTTACAAAAGAAATAATGTTTAGCATTTACTGTTTATTCCATTGTCTTGTGAAAGAATTTTTTTTATGTATTCTTTTACATTCCAATTGCAAGAATTTAGCGTTTAGAAGTTCATTGAACACCATAGTGAATAAGTGAAAACAAAAACACCGAAAAAACAAGAGATTATTTTTATTTTCATAGCCACTTTTAGATTTTTACGAAAATTATACATGGTCCTTTATATGTCTTTGCTAATAGAATTTAAGTGAATGTTTTCGGATTGGAAACATATTTGAAAATTATGTATATCATGACCCAGAGAAAACACTGAAAAGAAGTTACTTTGAAAGTAACAATAAATTCTCACTTCCTATTGATAGTAGAAGAAAGAAGGAAAATATAAGAAATATGACTATTGCAGATGAATAAGGAAAAAAATCAAGTAAACAAAAGAATCAATTAATATTTGTGTGATTTTCTTAATGGAAGTATCCTTTTCAAAGCGTTTCCTTTGTGCAACAGTTTTCAGAAAATTTCCCTTGACTCAGCATTCTTTCACCCCAATACAAGTTCTTGCACGCGAATAGATTCTGTACGTTTATTGAGAATTTGATTATAGTGCAAAAAAAATCGAAATCTTCGTAAAATTTATGAGTCAATTGTCTTTAAGACTTGAGTGATTATTCATCAACGAATTTTATGAAATATCTTAACTTATCGTCGACAAAATAATCTATTGAAAAAATGCTAAACGAAAAACAATAATTATTATGATTTTTCTTTTCGTCGATTGTAACTCGTATGAAAACCATTTTCTATTATAAAAACTAATCTATTCGATACATCAAAAAACTGTAATAATATATATAAATCCCTAGAATGTTGTTTCATGTATGATTTATTATTTGCTTTAATTACTATTTTATATCTATTATATTATTAATGATTTTATTTGATTTTAATGGCAATTATCAATTATTTGTAAATCTTATTTTCGTA